ATAATAATAATAATAATAATAATATCAATTAAATAATTTTTATTGCTTTTAGAACTGTGATAGATAGACCACTGAGAAATTGAATTGATAACATTATAAGCTATGAATTTAATTTACTAATGAACTGGGTTCATTGAAAAGTAAAATCACAATTTTTGAACAGCAGGAAAAAATATTTTGTAACACCTTTCTCAGGCAAGATCACACAATAAAACTGACAAACCAGTTCCCTCTGTGAAAAGAATACAATGGCAAATATACAAATATCGACCTAAAGCATTAGGAATTACTATGTTCAGTCATAACTTGTTTGGTGTGACATATTTGTCACACTTTTCTTTGGAGTGTTAAAGATCTATTATTGAGAAGTAGATTGCACTGAAAAAGAAATCTGTAACTTCAAACTTCCCTCTTGGGACCCATTCTTTTGTTCATCAATGACATTTATCACATATTTCATGGTATGGAGTTTCTTAGGTTTGCTGATGATTTGAAGATATTCACTGTTATAAAATAGAGATTTTAATGATTTAATTTTATAAAATAACCATATAATTTCATCTAATGAGATGACAAAATTTATTTGCAGAGTGTGGTAGATAAATTTGTTAAATGGTGTAAAGATGATATAAATTTAAATCATAAAAAGTGTAAGTCAATTACATTTTCCAGGAGTAGGAAATTGATTGATAAAGAGTATGCTGTTAATAGTGTGTTTTCGATTAGGAACCTTGGTGTTATCTTTAACTTCAGAATGTCTTTTAAAGACCATTTGAAGTTTATGGTCAATAAGACCAATCAGATGTTGGGATTCATTAAGTGTACTTGCTATGAACTGCACTCTGTGACTCGACTGATTTTTGTATTTGCTAATGGGAAGACTGATTTTAATGTATTCTTGCAACTGTTTGGTCACCATGTTTCGCAAATGCTAGTTCTAGAATCGAAAACGTACAGCATAAGTACTTTAGAATTGCAGCTTATTATATGGGGCTTTAAGACCCTTTCGTAACTCATGAATATGGAAATATCTCTTTGAGCTAGAACTTGCCTTCACTTAGATCTAGTAATTAGTAAGGAATTATCTGGATGTCTTGTTTTTGCGGAAACTATTGAAAGGTGGTACTGATTGCTCCCTTTTGTTGAATCTGGTTAATTTTAAGGTTCCCACTGTACACACTAGGAAACCACAAAATAATTTTTTTATCAAGAGTTTTTAAGTATTCGTGTACAGCAAATAACTCCATTGTCGGTCAAGATGGCAGAGATCGTTAGGGCAGTGGTGCCTTAGCAGTCTCAGACCAGAAGACCGAGTGTTTGTGTCCCGCTTCGGGCACAGGTGTATTTATGTATGTCTATATGTGTATGCCGTCCTTTCATTCCTCACTATCATCATCATCATCATCGTTCATACCCCCAAGGCTAACAACTTTGGGGGATAAAAAAATCAGGATTTGCTTAAAATGCTGATCGTCCCACTACCAATAATGGTATTTGCCAACTAAAAACCCTTCATCATTAGAATTTATCATGCTATTGGTAAATTTGATATTGATCTTTTTATTGAGAATGATACTTACTTTAAATGTGAATTGTGGAGCAAAATACTGAGATTTGAATAATCAATATATTATATTTTATTTATCTTTGTATAATTTTATAGTTCCTTTCATTTTTTCTTTTTCTTTACGAATGATGTACTATACTGTGATATTAAGTTGTTTACATATAAACAGTATAATTTTCTTGTGTATACAATTAAAGGGTTGCATCAGCAATGGTAACAAGCCACACTCTTGGCGATTTTCACTTTTCTTATTTGTAGAGTTTCAGCAAATGTCACACAATTCTTGATGTTAAATGATATCTAGCGGCTATAAGTTATAGGTCAATGCTTTTCTCTACAACATTGTGAAGGTTAGAAATATTTTCGATACACATTTTCAAAATATTCTCCTGTAACGAAGTGATTTTGTGGTTTATGTCTATCTCTGGTGCAACTTTTCAATTGTACAAATTGTCCGTTAACAATAAATAAATAAATATTAAAGACCTACAACGGGTTTGAAAACCTTCACACTTTTTCACTATTAAGCTCAAAATTACATGAAAACTGCTCATATTTTCAGAAAAGCATACATGATCTTATTTAAAGATCTACTTTTGAGGAACAGATTTTATTAAGAACAAATTTCTATCATTAATATTGTAGTTTAGCAATTCTCAAAAATACAGATTACAGAAAATGAGCCCTGCACTTTTTATAAACTTATTTTGGAGCCTTTTTTGAGAAAATATTGTTTTGAAAAGAGCCTGAATTTTGTCGAAATTAGTGTGAAAAGAACTCAAATGTGTGAAAAATTATACCCACCTTAAATATTCAAAAACAAACTATCTTCAATGTTGTAGGAAGACACTGGAAAGTTTTGACTTTACCAATTTTTGACATTCCAGTGTGTTTAACAAATAATTACACCTGCGTCATTTTGTGAAGCATTCTTTGTTCGATCTGACGAAGTTTTACCTGGCAGCACATGGGCCTCTTACTGTAGCGTCAGTGCATGCATCTGGTCTCTCAGACCCTTCTGCTTGCAGTTCCCTTAATTCAATATTCCCTTATAATTTCAATCAACGGAGGGTACCAAAAAAGATATTATTTTCAATAATGAGATATATTTTTAAATAGTTGATTTCTGTATTTAGTGGTTTGTATGCAAATTAACAAAACTGAAAAAATTAAATATGCTTAAATATTATTTTCTTTGTATTTGGTAAATTTTTCATATCTGACAACTTTCCTATTTTGCATGCTTTAAACTGTTAGTGAATGCTCCGTGCTAGTGTTGACGGCAGACATCTTTTGATGTTAATCAATTTTTCCAACAGGGATTCTCAATGTGTGTGTAATGTAGATTCTGACAACACAATGTATAAGGAAGTAATTTACTATATACTATTTACTATATAGCCACTTTTTTTCATACCAGGGCCCCCACAATATGATTTTTTCTGTCAAAAATTGACGATTTTGTGCTGCAGCATTACAATACTTTCTCTTGACTACATAAGTATATAGTAAGATGGGAAAGTACAGTTTCAAGAAGCTAATGAAGAAAATTTCAGTGAAAAGATAAAGGCAGATAGTCAATCGTTCTTTGAAAAGAACAATTAGTTAGTACCCACAAATTCTTACAATCAACATATCGCTGATATTCAATAATACAGAATTTTTTGTTCCCTGGATCTCAAGAGAAATGTGAGGATTTTCAAGTTAATTTGGTTTCTTAGCCATCGAAATAAGAATGAATTACATCAAATTTAATTCTCCCACTGAATGGCAATTAAAATGTTCGCATATATCAATTTGAATATCAAGTAAATAGTGGTATTTTTAAGTAAATTCTTTTAGCAATAATGACACAAATACTACCTGATAATGATATGTGTTTATGCATGATAAAAACAGTTACCTTTTCGAAGTTATAATATACAGTAGTAGTTTTTTAGTTTCATGTACTTTGTGGCACTTAAATATACTGTTTCTCACCCATGCTTGACTTCTATAATTCAAATAACACAATAAACATTTCTTTATAAATGCATTAATAATCTTTTATATAATCAATTTAATTTGATTCACTTACGATAACGTGTATGAATATGCAGGTTCTGGTTGAATAGGATACTCATAAAAGCTCCCATTATCTCCACAACAAAGTCATAACTTGTAACTATATTAAGTATTCAAAATATCTACACACATAGTAAGATTAAGTCAAGAATGTTACTGATTAAATTATATATCTGGACTACACTGAACACAAGTACACATGTTCCACAAAGCAACAATGGGTCTGCTTTACATAATTTCCAGATTACATAGTTTATACTCTAAAAAATTGGCTCACACACCATGACCCATTCTAAGAACTTTTAACTCACCGAGGTGTTGGCGTTTTCCAAGTGGAGATGATAAGCAGCACATAGCCACACGTCGAATCATGTGTGCAGACAGAAGCTGTCGAATAGTCTGACCTTGGTCCCCAGAGTAGTTCATGCGCACGTTCTCAAAAGCTCCCTCCTGAGAGCCCAATGTTGGTACCTGCAGCATAGGGCAGAAAACTGTAATATTTCAGCTTCAACAATTATGAAACCTGAATGGGCACAGTAGCTAACTGCATCTGTGCAATTTGAAGGTACGAGGCAAGTGCTATTTCCGACTTGATTTAAACTCCTTCACAATAAAGTCAAGGGGTTTAAATCCAGTGAACAATCATGTTGCAAGCTCTCTGAAATATTACACATCAAGAAATGATACGAAATTATCCATTTTGTTACGCTAGAAAAATATCTAGTCAAAAATCGCAAACACTACTTTTCCTTCAGGTGGCATCATTAAACCTAATTTGACAAAAATTAGGTTTACCAGCAACAATATCAATGCTCTAAATTTAAAATTATTTTCCTACATATGGGATGGACAATGCCAGCATGCACAGATATCAATCAAACTACAACTTAGAGAGAGAGAGAGAGCAATTCTAACAGACTCCACAATGATTGTTCCCACAAAGTGAAGTACACTTGCACTGTATGTAGGACTCGAAAGTATCAAAAAATGCCACAAGGGCAACAAAAGACAAACAAAAAAATAACACAAAAGGACGACAATGTTAAAGAGAGAAAACAACAACATAAAATAAACTTAAAAAGAATGTGAGCATTAGATGTATAAGTATCAGAATAGTAAAAACTATTCACCGTTCCAAAATTCTGACGATGATTTACCATAAGCTGATCAGTGAGCTCGAACTTCTTCTCCAAGGAGTGCAGCTGGCGGAGCGCTTTCTGAGCACGCTGATGGCAGCCCACAGGTGAATGCCTCTGACATGATGCTTCAATTGCTGGAATGAGACTCTTGACAAGCTCAAGCAGCGACTGCACTACAGAACTGCTCAAGAGATGAGATAGCAAAGTTTCTCTGCTACTCTCTGTAACAACATCCAATATTCAAGAGTTTATATGCAATATTTTAAAGAAACTTCAAAAACATCATTAATTGAAAGCTAATCGAAAGAAGTTTGAAATTTAATGACTTAGTATTAGCCAGAGAAAACACTAACTACTTCAACATTCACATTGACAAACATTACCATGAAATAAATAAGATTCCTCTATTCAGTATAAGATATGATAATTCAGTATCTATCATCCAGACAAACTATCAACAACACTCCACTACTATACTGGTCCTCTCCAAATACGGTTCAACCTTTAAATTCAATATGTATAAGCATATCTTTGGCATATTAATTAAAATTAATATAAATAAAAGAAACAGAAAGGAAAACATTTACATATGTGTGGGTGGGTGTGGATTGTTTGCCAATCTCTGCTGCAGATCTCTGCTACAGAGGACACAAAATGAAATTTTTTACATTTTGTTTAATTTTTTGCATTTTAGATATTTTGTACTTCTTTGCAAACAGGCTACACCTACTGCAATTATAATTATTTTAATACAATTACACTGTAATTCTTTTATGAGTAATAATAAATAAATGATTAACTAACTACTCAGAACTCCTTACCTTTAACTCATGATCTGAAAATTTATTACTTATAAATTATTAATTCAAGGCCTGAGAACCATTCTGTTTGACTTGTGTGAAATGTTACTGTCTTCTACCACTATACATGATACTAGCTGAATGATTGCTAATCCAACCGTGACAAGTGTAGTTTTCTGCCATGAACTTGATTCATCAACCCAAAGCAAATTTAGGTGAAGTTTTGTGATAGCCATTGAGCAATTCTATTTAGTGCTTCTAATTTGAGCAGCTTTAATGTGGAACAAATTTGTGACAAACTATCAACAGATGACAGTGATGTATTCATTGATACACTTTAATGTGTCGTATTTCAACTCGATTGAATCATTTGGCTTTTGTTATGTTAATATCAGTTGGCATATTTTTCCTGAAATTCATGGTATTAAACAAACGTTCATTTTTCTGTTCAGTTCACCATTTAGTTGTCTTAGAAAAAGGTTTCCTGCAACTGTCAGTTTCATACCTGAATCTTCAACATTGAAAATAGTTTAGTTGTGCGAAATGTATTTACAATCTGAGAGACTTTGTTTGACTACCTGGTGTTCTCTAATTTTGTTTTGCTACACCTACAAGGTTCGGAGAGATATCATCAAACTTTGAGGTTACGATTTTACGAATATCACATACTGAATGAATATCACTTACAAATTTCACATTTAATAACAATCAATTGGTATCTCAAGTGGTATGGAGTTGTATATAAACCCTAAGTGGGCAGGGGGGAACAACATTACATAGGGGTGACGGTTGTTAGTTTAGTGTTACGTAATGCTGATACTATTTTTTTTTTGGTCAACATTTACTGAAATAATTTGTTTTATACAGCCTTATACTAAACATTAATATATTAACAAAGTAAAATATGCTGCATAAATATAGTATATTCTAGAATCAAATTAAACTGGTGCAAAAGACAATCATTCATTTCTTATCCAAAACGGCATGAACACGGTTTGGCTGAAATTTTCTTACCAAGGTGTCCTTCCTTCAATAAAAAATTAACCTCCATCTTATTGTTAGATGAAGTCGGCATCATCAATTCTGATTTTCATTTTCATAAATTTTTAAATATAAAACAAAAATATTGTTTACTGCTCCAAATTACTTTAATTTTTTGTAAATAGGGCAGGGGGTGGGAAATGTTACGTAATTTTTAGGGGGGTGGGGGGATTGAAGCACATGTTACAGGGATAAAATGGGGCATTCAAAACACTCAAAAATTGAGTCAGTAAATAATAGACCCCCTCTACAATACAAGCAAAATTATATTGAGATTGACTGAGATAGCATTCTTTAAAGTTTTTCAAGTGGTTTATCCAGTGGTTCTGTTTGATTTTACAGTTTTGGTAAAACATATTGTGGTATAAAACTGATGACTGTATTATTACAAAATACATACTGTATATAAACACCAAATCATTTCAGAAAATGATCAACAAAATTGATGACAAACAAATGCTTGCCTCTCATCTCACATTAACATAGAATATTGCTTGAATAAAATTTCTGACTACTTGACAGCTGGGGTGAGGTAAAGCAATGTCGCCACTTACTCAGGCAGATGTGGTAGTGTGGTGGTTCTTGCATCCTCTCAGGACAGAGGTATGCGCATCCCATTTATTGTGTTATCAGTAGAATAACAAATGGTAATAATGAAGCTTACTTCATGAAGTTCTTTACCGCATTCCCTTACACTAATCCAGCCAACGAAAGGAATAACAAAACTTTTTTACACATCACGCGCAAAGCAAATGAAAAGTAAGTACCACAAGACCCATTTTTAAAAGGAAAATGCATAAAATGTACATTAATTTAACAACGAAAACACAAAATCAGAAAAGTAATGCTGTTCTTCAATTTTCAGTAGTTTCCAGCTATAAGATTTCATTTTTTTGTAATAATCATCAGCAACTGCTGTGACACCACAACAATTTGAAGCTTCTGATTGGATAAAGGAATCTTCCCTCTCCTGTCAGCCACTAGCTATCAAGAAGTCAGAAATATTATTCTGGTAATAGTATAGAATAGTTAATAGAATTTACAAACAGTTTAAGTGTATGTTTTGTTTAATTTCATAATTCAGAACTTCAAAACCCAATTAGGTAAGAAAGATCAAGCAGTCAAACTTACTAGTTAAAATGTTATTCAAAAATTCTAATCAATTTTAATCATCTAACAAATACAGCTGGACTAAAAAAGAACAATAGGCAAGGAAAAAATACAAAAACAGAATAGAAACAATACTAAAGAAATGCTTAGAAAAATAGACAATTTTGAGAATTTATAATATCACACCCAAAGCAATGTTAAAATGTAGTTCAGAAATGCGGATAAGGGGCATAAAGGAAACAACAGATTACATTGGAATCGGATCACATTCAACACATTTTTATGAGATTTGACCAGCACATAGCAAACAAGTGAATATGAATATAGTCAAATAAGAAGAGGAATGATAAAAAAATATTAAGTGTGGTGAGGATACCATTGGCCATTAGGCCAGCACAGGCAAGGGATACAGGAGGCAATAGACTGACACAGCTGCTAGAGCTGAGTGACCTTAGACCAATCCAGACCATTGACAGCGAAGTTTCACCTCCTAACACTTATGACAATGGTATACAATGCACGCTGGTATTACTGTATTTTTGGATGCCTAAAATATAAATTAAATAACAGCAGATAATGCGTAATCAAAAATACTTAAGAGTCAAAACTTGAAGCACATTTGACTAATAGAAGAATTCACACCAGTGGTTTAGAAACCGCCACAAATAGCAAGGTGGCCAAGAGATGATACAAGTTTGTTTTCAAAGAATGAGATTATTATGAATGACTAGCAATTTATTTCAATAGGTACAATTTTAAATATAATATATATTTAATGGGCATTTTTATCTAATCATGATCATTTCTAAATGAATTATTTTCTCACACATTGACACCAAAATGTAATAATCTATTTATAAATGTAAGACATTTGTTAAAGAACAAGTAATGAAATAAATAGGAATAAGTAAGTTACAAAATCAGCAAAGAAGGTAATTGCAATGACCATATGTAAGCATTACAAATATCTTAAAAATATAACTTAACAATTTGTAGTCGGAAAGAAAATTATATCACTTCACAATTTTCTATTATTAAATTGTATCTTATTAGGAGAAAACGTTTGGAGTGGAAAATGGAAAAGTAGCGGGAATGCAGCAGACCCAAATATCATGTTTGACGTGGTTCCAACGAACTAAAGATGATTTTCACACTTGTTCCAGTAAGAACTTGCTGTCAGCAGTCTGGGTTGGGTTTTCTACTCAGTTTCCCAGGATCTATTGACCAACTTCTGAGATGGTCCCTTGCTTTGTTTTTGGACAATCAAGGTTGCTTCACTACAGGCGCATGATTTCATGACCTCCGTTTTCACTAGATGTGTTTATTTATTTCAGCAATACTATTTCATAAGCATGTACTAAATTTGTAGCTCGTTTATGAATGTAAGTATACTGGAGTGAATATTTTTAGAAATCAAAACAAATACAGGTAATATTTTCAAGTTTACAATGTTCTTTTTTCTTTCTCAATTTATCCTTATGGATTGAAAAGAATATCACAGGGTCATAAATACATAATGCTCAACTTTATTTCCATTTTTTTTTGGGGGGCGGCCGGGGGATCGGAGGGAGGGGACTGTTACATGACTACATGCAGAGAAAAATATCAATAAACAGTTTCATGAAACACTAAGTACAATGGCAAAAGGTACTTGTACAAACTTGTACTTGGCTAAGTACAAGTTTTTCTGAAAAAATATTTCCCTAAATTTTTCAGTTTTTAAAGGCATGTAAAACTCATTCCCTTGGTAAAAGATGTAGATATATGATATGTATGATACCATTTAAAGAAACCAGCTTTTGCTAGTGTTAATTGACTCTTTGTTCAACTTGACAAAAAACTAAATTAACAAAATTAAATTAAAATTAAAACTAAATTAAAAAACTTGCTTAACAAAAAAATTGGGACTAAAAAAAACTCATTTACTAATTGTTTTTAAATGAATTATATGAAGTTTTATAATTGTCTCTAATTTATTTGAATTCTAAAGATTTTTCAACTTTCTCGATTTTCCAGAATGTTACCTTCCTGGCATATTTAAAATCAAAACAGTTTTTACTTGCAGAACTGAATGACGTCTCTCACCTAGTTGTTTAGCTAGCGTAGGGAGACGTTGTCTATCTCTGTATGATCCCCCTATATCCAAGTTGACAGGGGATGAAGGGCGGCGACGCAATGAACTGGGCAGCATCTGGTCCACTGACATATTGCTGGGTCCAGATGATGCTTGAGCTTGGTTGGAATGGGCTTCATTTGATGACTGCGGACTTCTCTTCACCAACGCCTACACACAAACAAATTCTGATGAATTGTTAGCATTACCCTCCCATTAGATTCCAAAGATCTAATGCCTTTGGCTAAGCAATTTATGACTAGTCGGACATGAAAGTTTTGAAATATGGTGTATTTAACAGATGAGAGAGTGCAAGAGAAGAAGACAACGACGA